CCAGTCCCGTTTATTCAGAGCTTGTTGTGGTGGAATAAAGGACGATGTAGGACTTAACATTGGGATGAAATGGTTAAAAAGAATGTATTACCATGTCTAGTACGGCCTGTTCATGGCAGGAGTAGACGGCGCTTGTTCTATATGGGGGCCACCTGCCCAATCAGCTGCGGGCCAGGGCATTGCCCTGCAGCACAGCGTCACACGATGTCATGGACCAAATATAGCTATGTGGCCATATAAGGTCAATGACATCACTGCATTCCCCCCTCCCCTTTGCTTACGTGCAGCTATGGACAGGGAATTCCCCCGGCTGCGGCTGATTGGGTGGCAGCGGAAGAAGCGTGTTTGGAGGAGCTCGGGCTCAGACCGGGTTCCCTCAATGGGAATCACTCACTACGACGGTGACCTCTGCTGGGGGGGGGTCAGCGGTTTAGGCAGCTCCCCTCACGGCACGCCTGCAAAAGTTGCTGCCCATGTTGGAGAATTTTTATCACTTCCTGGCTCCCCAAAGGGGCCACAAAACAGTAAAAAAAACAAAAGCCTGCCAGCTGATTGGTTCCTATGGGTTACTGCATCGTTGGTTGTCTTTTCTGCATCGCTACGACGGTGACCTCTTCCGGCTTCACCAATTTAGAGAGCTGCCCTCACTACAATGACCCTTCAGACTAGTGTCCAGGGTTCCGCCCACACCTTTCATTGCTGTCTGTGTTGGAGAATTTCCATCACTTTCTGTCTTGGCGACAACGTTGTGGACCAGGAAATGATGGAAAATGTCCCCAACCTGGCCACAAAACAGTAACAAATCATCTGATTGGTTCTTGCGAGACTCCAGTGCTGTATTAAAGGAGAACTATGAGGTCAGGGCTTTTCCCCATAGTTATCCTCAAGGTCACGGGAGAACACAAACTAGCGCCCTCCCGTCACCCTAAGCTCAGTATATAGGGAGCTACAGCTCGCGGTATACTGAGACGCCGCAGCCGGGACGGATCCCCACACAAACTAGCGTCCCCCCGTCACCCAAAGCTCGGTATATAGGGAGCTACAGCTCGCGGTATACTGAGACGCCTGGGCCGGATCCCGACATTACTGTCTGGATCCGCCCAGCTGCGTGAGTGACAGCTGGCTCTGCCTATCTAGAGGCAGAGCCAGCTGTACTCGCCCCCTCCCCTCCGCCAGTCAGCGCTGGACGATCGGACAGGGGAGGTGGGGGGGGAGAATCCCTGTAGGGAGCCGTGAGTGACAGTCGCCACTCTCTGCAGGGAGATGATCGAGAAGTGAGCGAGCACCGGTATGTGTTCCCTCACCTCCCGATCTATTGAGCCGACCTGCGAAGCCCGTGACACACTGCACGCAAAGCTGTCCGGCACGGAGCTCTGCGTGCAGTGTGTGAGCTGAGCGCAGTCAGAGATGATTGACTGCACCTTCAGCCAATCGGCTCGTCCGTAACAACCGGCCAGACGTGGCATGCCGACGCGCTGGTTTACAGGCAAGCCGATTGGCTGAAGATGACATTTTTCATCTGGGCACGCTCGGCTACGCGAGCTCTTGGTGCCGAGGAGGAAGTGACATGACACGCTGCTCGCAAAGGCAGCGCTCCACCGCTCCATGTGCCCGCCCCCTCCCCTGTCCTTTCCGCCAGTCAGCGCTGGAGGATCGGACGGGGGAGGAGGGGAATCCCTGCAGGGAGCCGTGAGTGACAGTCACGAGAAGGATCGAGAAGGGAGCGAGCGACGGTATGTGATCGCTCACTTCCCGATCTACTGAGCCGACGTGTGACAGTCTCATTGCCACAGGTCGGCTCAGATTATGAGTGAAAATCGCCCCCCCCCCCCCGTAGTTCCCCTTTAAGGAATGTGCTTCTCCCTGATGTTTCCTGTGGCCGGGTCTCACGAATCTTTATCACCAAATCCTGATAGGGAGGACGGGCCGCGGGGAGCAATCAGATCTGAGGCCGCCCTGCAGCCAAATGTGTTCCTTCGTCTTCTTTGAAGAGTGAAATGCACTTTGTGGGTCAAAACCATCAAATTGCTCCCCGCGCGCGTCAAGCGGCGATATCGGATTTCACACGACGCGCGCGCTGTCACACGAGGAGCCTGCACTGTTGCCTTTTTATTCTCACGACGTCTCCTCCTCCTCCTTTCCAGATCTTGGAGAAGAACGTCCGCCTGGAGTGCAAGTGCCACGGAGTTTCGGGTTCCTGCACCTTGAAGACCTGCTGGGTCACCTTGCCCCATTTCCGGGAAGTGGGCTACGCGCTGAGGGAGCGGTACGAGGAGGCGGCCGCGGTGGAGGCCGTCAGGGGCCGGCGCCAGCAGCTGCCCACCTTCCTGAAGCTGAGGAACCCCCAGAGCTACGGCAAGCCGGCGGAGACCGACCTGGTCTACGTGGACGGCCCCCCGAACTTCTGCGAGAGGGACGACGCCACGGGCAGCGCGGGCACCTACGGGCGCCTGTGCAACCGCACCTCCGCCGCGTCCGACAGCTGCGAACACTTGTGCTGCGGCCGCGGATACAGAACCTTCCAGTACACCCACGCCTGGCAGTGCCACTGCAAGTTCCACTGGTGCTGCCACGTGACGTGCAGCACCTGCAGCGAAAGGACGCAAGCCTACACGTGCAATTAAATGGCGGGACGTTGGCACCGGATGAGCTTGGGTGGGGGGAGGGGGAAACCACTCCTGTTGTATGCCGATCTGGGCACACACCTGTGCAGCTTTTCCGCGCTGCTGTTTTTGTAGCGGTATGCGCCACTTATACTTCCTTCTTTGGAACTGCATAGGCGGGGGATGGAAAGGGATGTACCTATAATACCGGTGTAGGACAGTGATAGTGGCCCTTGTTATACCGGCACGTGTTTAATACAGTAGGGGACCAATCAGAAGGAGACTTTTTTATGGTTTCCCTGCCGGGGTATTTATGGTGGTATCTAAAGACACATCTGCCGAATTATTGTTGCCTATGGGGTAGTAACATGATCTGCAGATGTGTTTTATTCTTCCAGTGTTGGCCCCTCAGCTGCGGTAGCAACAGGGGCCGGGGGGAACAACCGCTCCTTTTGGTTCCCCTGCCAGCGCCACTTCTAACCAGACTACAATAATCGCCTTCGCTGACCCATAACGTGCGCTGAGTAGTTCCTACGTACTGACCTGCCTTTTACTGAGCAAGCCACGCCCACGAGGAACCTCTCCGAAGGCTGGTTCTGCTTGTGCTTTTACAGAACTGAGGCTTTTGGAGTACTTTATACCAGGAAGTGTGCTGATCTGACACCCCGACGCCTATTTATATGGATGGATGGATGGATGGACGATACAAAAGCTGTATTTTTATGTCCGGGGTCCGCTACGCTGCCAGAGAAATGGGAAGCTGCACACTACGTTTTCATTTCCTTCTCTGCCAATGGGAATACAGGAACAAAATCTAATATGACCTATTTTAAC